AGAATGCCTTCATTCTGTGATAAATCACAGTGCAGCCACAGGATGTGTAGAGACACAATCAAAATAACAGCTTCCAATGTTTTCAGCTGCATTCAGTGAGTTTGTTGCATCTTTTAATTTTTTTAAGTATTGGAACACTAATTGTTTACTTGTTTGTTGATGAATGCTGTGTTTCTCACATGTCACATGTCGTGATGGCACACTTATCTATGACTGGCCATGGATGTCAAATAATTACTAAGCATCTGCCCTAGTAATCCTTTAAGCTTTAAGATGCTTCCATGCATTACATTTTTTTGGTGAAATAGGATTCAAATCTTGTAAAGATGCTTCTCTGGCTTTTGAGAGATACTTTGATATTTTCCTGATATCTAGACATGAAAAGAAGGAACTAAAAGTCTCCTACGAACTATAACTCTAACTCTTTTATTTATTAATAATTTAATAAAGTTATTGTGTTATTAACACTGTCAAGGCAGAGACTTCTACTTCAAGCCATTTCTTCCTCAGTTGTACCCGCACTCACGCACATCATAAACACCTCTCTTCACACTGGTACCTTTCCCACAGCTTTTAAGCAGGCTCGGGTAACCCCACTGCTTAAGAAACCCACTCTAAATCCAGCACATCTAGAAAATTACAGACCGGTATCCCTTCTTCCATTCTTCGCGAAAACACTTGAGCGAGTTGTTTTCAACCAGATCTCTTCCTTTCTTACACAGAACAACCTCTTGGACAACAATCAGTCTGGTTTCTAAAGCGGACACTCAACTGAGACTGCCCTGCTCTCAGTAATTGAAGCTCTGAGACTGGCAAGAGCAGCTTCCAAATCCTCAGTTCTCATCCTGCTGAATCTGTCTGCTGCCTTTGACACAGTTAACCACCAGATCCTCCTGTCAATCCTAAAGGGCATCTCGGGAACCGCACTCCAATGGTTCAAGACTTACCTCTCAGGTAGGTCATTTAGGGTGTTGTGGAGGGGTGTGATGTCTTAGACCCAACATCTAGCTACTGGGGTGCCTCAGGGCTCAGTGCTTGGACCACTTCTCTTCTCCATCTACATGACATCACTAGGATCTGTGATTCAGAAACATGGCTTTTCCTATCACTACGCTGATGACACACAACTCTACCTCTCATTCCAGCCTGACGATCCGACGGTAGCTGCTCGTATCTCAGCCTGCCTGACAGACATTTCTGGCTGGATGAAGGACCACCACCTTCAACTAAACCTTGCGAAGACAGAGCTACTTGTGGTCCCAGCCAACCCAACACTTCATCACAACTTCACCATTCAGCTAGGCTCGTCATCCATAACTCTATCAAGGTCAGCCAGGAACCTTGGGGTTGTAATTGATGATCAATTGAACATCACAGACCACATTGCTAGAACTGCCCGGTCATGTAGATTTGCCTTGCATAACATTAGGAGGATCAGGCCCTCCCTAACAGAGCATGCTACAGAACTCCTTGTCCAAGTGCTTGTTCTATCAAGACTGGACTAATGTAATGCTCTCCTGGCTGGTCTTCCAGCTTGCTCTGTGAAACCTCTGCAACTGATCCAGAATGCTGCAGCCAGAGCCGAAGAGAGCACACGCCACTCCTCTCCTCACAAAATTGCACTGGTTGCCAGTTGCCGCTCGGATTAAAATCAAGTCACTGACGTTAGCCTACAGAACAACCACTGGCTCTGCTCCCTTTTACCTAAACTCATTACTTCAGACTTATGTGCCATCCAGAAACTTGCGCTCTGCAAGCGAATTTCGTCTTGTGGTACCATCTCAAAGAGGCACAAAATCTCTTTCTCGGACCTTTACCATGACTGTTCCATGCTGGTGGAATGATCTGCCTAACTCAACCAGAGCTGCCGAATCTGTAGCCTCTTTCAAGAAACGGCTGAAGACGCATCTTTTTCGGCAGCACTTGATCCAGTAATACTAACACTTTTTCTTCTATTCAATTTTTTTATTTAAATTTTTTTTTTACATGTACTGCGTTAGATTAAAGTGAAAGGGGTCACTTGCATATTGTTGTCCTACTGTTAGTTTAACTGCTTCTATTGTTCTCATTTGTAAGTCGCTTTGGATAAAAGCGTCTGCTAAATGAATAAATGTAAATGTAAACACGCATTACAATAGAGAGCGTTCAGCACTGTAGCCTATTCAAGAACTGGGATAACCAATGAACTAATACAATAAACCAAGCGTTTATTAATGCCTTCCGCAGTGCTGAACGAAAAAGTCATGAGATTGATATATGTAAAATATATATTTAAGATAGCCTATTTCCTAACTTGATATGCAAATCCCCCATAAAGATACTAAGGCCTATTTCTAGGCGTATTAAAGGACGACCATGTGTGGTGACAGGCCCGCTTTTCAGTTTATAATGTTATTTTATATTTTTGGCCTCAATAACTCATTTTATATGTTTGGCCTCAATAAATTATTTGGACTCAATAAATTATTTTGTATATGAATAAATGCCTGGTGTGGTTCTAACGCACAACAAAGCAATTATTATTTATTATTATTATTATAAAATATAGATGTGTACTGTGTAGGTTTTTAAAAAAGTAGGAAATTTATGTAATATGGTATTCTTGTTAGTGTCGCGTTTAGACAACGGACAAAAGACTCCATTTCCCAGCAACACGTGGGAGAGAAGGAAATGCATTTTAACTTTCACTTTTGCGACACACACCCATCACTAACATACAGCAGCAACAGTTTTGGACTAAATGCGGCGATCATTTTATACAGTTAAACGAACAAACACCTGCCATTTTGGGCGTCATTTAATCGTAAGTTTCGCGTTTAAAATGCAGACCTTTTCTAAGTGTTCAAATGTTTGCTATGCGCGCTTAACATTCTAAATCGTAGCATGGTTTTCATGAATGCAAACACGTTCAAAATCAGAATTATAGCTCGGCTGCAAATAGTTTTTCGTATTATGACGTAATTGTTGTGAGAATCACTTTGTTTAGGCTATATGAGATGCAGGCTAATATTGGTCATATGCAATTCCAGTGCACTCCACTTGTTTACATGGCCAGTGAATCCTGGCTGGAGTCTTCCCTGCGCCGTTCATCTAAACTCGGGCAGGAAGTGTTGGAAAAGGCAAAAAGACGGTCTAGCAGCTCAAGACCAAGACCATCACCCATGTTCAATCACTATGAGAGGGGCTCAGAAGTGAGTAGACTCAATTCCATAGCTCAATTCACATGAGTTAGGTCAATAACGTCCGTGACACTAATTCTTTTTGTCCTGTGTTACAGAGAGAAATTTCCCATTCAAACTTGGACCATGCTTTTGGTACAATAGTGGAGTACATGTCTGAAACTACGAGACAGTGCCAGGTGGAAAAATGCTTTATTCATTAATTTACTTTAACTGTGTTGAGATATGAATGAGAAGAAATAGCCTGCGTTTCTTTAACAGAAGTTTTATAAGACTGTTCACCTGGCTCAGCCCAGTGAGCGAGAACACATCTGTCGCTACCATTCACAGCAGATGTTGAGGACTGCAGACCGAAAACAGAATGCTACTGCAGCCATCAAACGAGACATTGTAAGTATTGACCTTAGCCAAAAAAAAAAAAAAAAAATTACACATTTTTCTTGTCATGTTGTGTGTAAACTTGAACTGTGAAGGCAGTGTACAAAAGTTGATTTTTGAGTTGATTCCGTATTTGCTCTGCAAATCAACTCAGTGGTTCATTTACATATTTTATTGAAGGGTTCATCAGAACCAGAGGATTTTCTTATTGAAGTGCCTCCAGGAACCTATTCCATCACGGCAGCAATGCAGGACACAAGGCCAGAGACGAAAACTGTCCACATCAACGCAGGAGAAAGCATGAGCCTTACATTCAACCTCTGAACTTTGGGTGAAAATGAATGCCTTAATTTAGGACTTGCACTAAAATGTTAAAATGCACTGACTTTTCTTGATTTCTGCTTGAGTGTTCATAAGTGTTATTGCTAATACTCAGGAATATTTATTTATTCATTTTTAAAGTAATCATGAGTTTATATTGACGCACAGAAGCCATAATGAGATTAAACAGCAAGACAAAAATTTACATTTAATTTGTACTTTCTTTATACGTCTTACAGATGTTGCATTTTAATAAACTTTTGCATGATTTTACATAATAGTATTTTCTATTCAATTACTACACAGCCATAAGATGTTTGAATTAACAACACATATCATCCCTGAAGAAAAAAAAATCAGCAAAAGCTGACTGGCAATTCTCATAATACTTTGAACTTTGGCTGTGGAACTAGTATCAGTTTATTTGGCCTTGTGCTGATTGCTACAGATATTGGTGATGGTGATGACTTCGGTTCAGTTGATGCAAATATGTCCCTCATATTGACTCCTCGTTTTGGTGATTCACGAACCAGTTTAAATACAGAGCTGTGATTGGTCATCATAGAGTTATCTGTAGAGCTCCCAGAATTCCCAGTGTCTCTTGGCCAAGAACGGGTTACATTTGAACACCTGACTGCTCTTCCTGAAATACCAAGAACACCCAGGCAGTACAAATTAAATTTATTTTGAAAGAAAATAAATATTTTTTTCTGGCACTTGTATTTAGACCAAATGTTTCTAAATTGTATGTCTGCCATACCATTAAAATGTTTGGGGTCTTAATATTTTTCAAAAATACAGCTAAAACAGTAATATTGTGAAATTTTATTACAATTAAAATAACTGTTTTCTATTTTAATGTGTTTTAAAATGTAATTCCTGTGATGGCAAAGCTGGATTTTCAGCATCATTGCTAACAGTCTTCATTGTCACATGATCCTTCAGAAATCATTCTTATATGCTGATTTGGTGCTCAAGAAACATTTCTTATTATTATCAATGTTGAAAAAGGTTGTTGCTTTATGATAAAAAAAAAAGTCTGGGCAGAATTTCTGCAAATAATTCAAAAGAACTGCATTTATTTGAAATGTAAATATTTTGTAAGATTATAAATGTCTACTGTAACTGTTGATTAATTTAATGCATCCTTTCTGAAAAAAAAAAAAACATACTGACCCCAAATGTTTTAATGGTAGTGTATATGCTCAAATATACTATATGTCAGATCATGATCAGTATTTTTTATGTATTGTATTTGTCCATTTTGACAGCTATATTGTAAATATTTTGTCATTACCTGGTTGCTTGTGCTGTGGTTCTGCAGAACCGCTTTTCCAGTATCTCCAGCCTGGTCTGGACTCAGTTTGACTGTATGGCTTTCTCAGACAGGAAATATCCGTGTTTATTGAGCGGCTCACCAGTCCTGACCCCAGAGGCCTGTGTTTTTCAGCTGCAGTATCCTCCTCATTCTCATCTGAGTCAGAGGTTGATGATGAGGAAGATAAAGGCACTTGTGTCTGTTGAGAGCTCCGTAGTTCTTTCAGTTGGAGATCAACTTTCCTTTCCAGCTCATCTCTCCTCTGGTTGTTCAGTAGTGGAGGTGACATGAACATTGGCCAGCATTTCTTGACTGGACAGTGGAGCAGTGGAATGGAGGACGGACTGTGGTGGTTGCACTGGTGACATGGCAACTCAAAACAATTCATGGTGCTGCAGTGGGAAGTCCTGTAGCAACATGGCCTAGATGAATAATGCTGGAGGTCTTTGATAATTTGCTCATGGTGAGAGGCTGGAATCCATACTGCAAGCTCCTTGGGGACATGAATTGTCATCCCGTTCCAGAAGAGAACCTGAAGTCCCAAAAGACCTTCATCACCTTTTAATGAGACAACAGATCTGAGCAAATTCCCCTGGGTTTATTCAGTTATACAGATCACTCTTATGATGTAGTATTGGTTTAAAATTTTTAACTAAAAAAATCTTACTTTTTAGTGGATATCTTAGCTCCATACCGGAGACGACTCTTCCAGGCCCATATCTTCTCAGATCTTGCTCCCATGATGCTAAAACTGTGTCCCCTGGTACTATACTGTGCCCATGTGCACTGGCAAGATTAACTATATCAGGCTGGCAGGTTGGTTGAACTGTATTTAATGTTTCCTTAAATGTATTTCCTTTAGGTCCAAACTTATCAAACTCCACCATATAAATATTTCCTCTGCCCTATAGAGATCGAGAGAAATGTTTAACAAACTATGATTATACATCTAGATTTGAACTAAATTCTCAATTGAATTTGAATTAAAAAGCTTACTATATTTAAAGATACAGTACATTTCAAAAACATTAGGGTCAGTTGGATTTTTTTCTGAAATTAATACTTTAAGCAAGGATATATTTAAATTGATCAAAAGTATACAGTAAATACTTTCACAATGTTACAAAAGATTTCCATTTTAAATGCTGTTCTTTTGAACGTTCTATTCATCAAAATTCTGAATAAAAAGTATAACGTTTTTCACTAAAATATTAACTAGCACAACAGTTTTCAACATTGATAATAAGAAATATTTCTTGAGCAAATCAGCATATTAGAATGGATTTCTGAAGGATCATGTGACACTGAAGACTGGAGTATTGATGGTAAAAAATGAATTACATTTTTAAATATATTGAAATAGAAAAGAGTTATTTTAAATTGATTAAATTCTACTGTTTTTTGCAGCCTTGTTAAACATAAGAGACTCATTTCAGAAACATAAAAAATCGTATACAGACCCTAAAACTATTGACTGGTAGAGCATGTTCATGATAAAAAAAAAATTCTCAGTACCTGATGTATGATTGTCCCCAGGTAATAAAACCCGTCTATCTCTTTCCTGGCTAACACACGGCTGCCGGGAAACAGCTCAGCACCTCGCAATACCCTTCCAGATACACATGATACTGAACTAAAAGGATTCATAGGGGAACACCTGTAGAGATATATATTTCCCACAATATAATTATGTATTGTTTTTATTTCTTTCTCTCTTTTTAGTTTAGTTCAATTAAAGCATACCAGTATGGTGTAGACCAGACACAGCTTGTGCAGTTGTGGTATGGGACCTGATAGAAGTCCACTGAATGCCTTGGCTCCTCTGAGTATGATGCATTTTGAATCAGGTCATCGATTGAATGCAACAAACTGATCTGACATATTATAAAACATTAAATGGTGACAAATATCCGATTAACTAATAAAGAATGGCTAGTATAGTGGTGGTCGGTCACCATACAAACATCATCTTACCTGGTCCACATTGCCAGCAGAGTTGAGAGACATCACATAACAGCTTCCTCTAGTGGTGGAGGTGATGCACTGCAAGAAGTCTGATATGTCAGTGTTCATGGGAGTCTTGTCGGACATGTAAAATGTATGGACAGGCCGTGTCACCAAGGTTGATAATGAACCCAAGCATTGTGTGGGGTTGTCTGGGAGACCGCTGGTCACCAAATGGACAGACTGACAGGCAGGGTCAGAGAATGCTAAGGCCAGTGCTGTGTGGAGGTCTCTGCCAGGACTCGTCTGTAATGTGTGGATCCAGCTCAAGGCTTCATAGACTACATCAGGAGTGCAGGGGATCATGTGAGAAGACCATGGTGTTGCCTAATGAAATATATATGAGTTTTTATGGAATATTGCACTGCAGTATTATAAATGATTTATCTGTGCACATCAATATATATTTTTTTAAATTCGTGTGCCCTTGTCATCTTTAATCAAAATAACTTCCCTCTTGAAGTGACATCTCATCTCTTCTCTGATTACGTGTTAACTGGTGCGAGGGCGGGACAAATTGTCACTTACATGAGATCGAATAATATCACACCACAACAATCTAATCATCCAATCAATTCCAATCAATTCCCGATGGACAGAATTACCAACGCATTCTCATCCTTTGGCGTCATGGCCCTAAAGGGAGATAATATGAGATGGAGGAAAAATTTCACCACTTTTGCGTTCTCTTGGAAATGTTTGGCGTTCCCCTGAGAAACTTTGCATTTCCTCACAAAAAGTTTGCAAAGGTTTTGCGTGGGATCGCAGTTTCTCGGGGGAACACAAAGGTTCTCAGGGGGAACGCAAAGGTTTTGTGAGTGAACGCAAAGTCTCTCAGTGGAATGCAAATGTTTTGAGAGCGAACGCAAAGTTTTTTCGGTAAAACATTTGCGAGAGCACGCAAAAGCATTGCTTATTATTTTTCCTTCCATCTCATTTTTTTTTTCCTCACCACCTTGTCTCTTTAGGGGCCCCGTACAAAATGTCCAGCCCGAAATCTTTTCTTGTTCGAGAAGGCGTTTCTCTTGGATATACGTCACGTATAGGGAAGAAAAGACATTTGCTGCTTCCGTTTCATGCTGACTTTAATAAACTCAACCGCTTAAGATACAAAATAATGATTAAATTTTTTTTTTAAACTGTTACCAACCAAACTTACTTACAGCTTGCATCATCAAGATGGAGACAGTAGCTTCATGGACAATTATCATACACTTTTTTATTTTTTTTATTTAGAATATATAAGTAACCTTTTGCGACGTGTTCATTGTGATTCATTGTAAATTTACCTTGTATGAAAAGCTGATAATGTTGAAGAGTGAGTCTCTGAGTGAAGCTTTAGTAATTAAGGTTTGGATGATAAGATTCTTCACTGATCCCAAAAAGCCATTCATTCCCACAGATGAGTCCAGAATAAAGGTGATATTTCTGCTTTTACCCATGAACAAGGGAAGGACACTTTGGCAGTGAGATACCTGAGATGACATTGTTTCTCGCATCAAATGATCTGCAACACAATTGAATTTGCTGTTAGTTGACTTAAAGACCCATCTGAAAAGCTTCTATCAACACACACAACTCTTTTTCAAATTTTTGTTATAAGCAAAAGTAAAGATTTTTTTTAGAATGGAAATACATATAAAAACTATAAAAAAGTATTAATACCTTTCTTGACTCCAAGAACACACTTGCAAACTGTAGCAAGTTTTGTTCGAATAATCCACTGAACATGGATCTCTGTCTCTACTGTGTACTGAGGTTGCCATAGTGAGCCACTGACCAGCCTTAGACTATTTGAATGTCATTACATCCATCTAGTGGTGACAGAGAGCATCTGATGTGCAATTGGGAACATGGTCTATGTATGTCTGAAGGGAATGGGATCATTCTGTAGACTGGTGTTTCTCTAATCACCTAAGTCACATAAAATAATAGAAAAAAAAGATTAAAACAT